GGGCCAAAAAAAAAAAGTTATGCAGCTTCAACGTGACACCTTACATCAATATATGTTTGAACTTGTGCAAACTGCTGGTAGCCAGTGTGATGAGTGTACCTCTGGAAGTGTGACTGTACGAAGGAGCCTCCTGGCTGTATGCTGGCCACATCCAGCACCTTCACAGGGTTTTTAAAAGCCATCTCGGTGCTGACCGCCCTGAAGCTGCTGAAGTCATGATTCCCCACCAGCAGGGCCGCCGCCTTGCGCATGGCTCCCACATCCAGCTCACTGATGACAGACAGAAACAAGAGACATTTTTGTTTAACAAGAGATCAGTGATCAATCAGCTGAGGTCAATAGGCTTCCTAAATCAACTTTTGCCGGCTCATTGTGATATTTGCGACCCGACCTTCATGAACAGCAGGGTGAAGTAGCTGGGATGCAGTGTAAACATTAAGTACAATGGGTTTATAAACAGAATAATTTATTGGCTGACTTATACAATGTGAAACTTTCTGAAGCACTATGCCACGTGACAGAGCAGAGCATGTCAATGACCAGATCCTTTGAGGGAGAGAGTGGGAGTGGGAACGGTGCTCGGATTCTCTACAGTCTCATGCTTCTGTCACTGCTTAAAGATGATCTGACAGAAAGTGAGATAGAAGCAGAGCAGGGAAATGGAGGAGTGTGCTGAGTGACTCACTAATTAAAATCTTGACAGCTGATTTATTCTTGCATTAAGTGAGAACTTTTTAAAATAAAGATGCTTGATCCTTCGCAAATCAAGTTGGTCTACAGTTTATCCTTTCATAAATAATCAATCAATCAACTTTTCAAGATTCTAATTTATGTAGCACTTTGGTTTAGGATCAAATATGTACAAAAATGAATGACATACTAATGCAATAAACTAGGATGGTGAACATAAATATTAGCGTGTTTGTTAGTATTCCCATTAGCATAGCTCAAAGCACCACTGTAATACAGCCTAACAGAGATGCCAGCGTGGGTCATAGTGTTGTTTTTATTTTTAATTCATTGACTAATTTATATCTCTTATATACACATTTATGGTTGGAATTGAACGCAGGATGCTGCGGTAAGGACTTGACCTTTGTACATGGGACACACACTCTATCAAGTGAGCCACCAGGGTGCTCCGAAATCAAGCAATCCAAGGTTATTGCCTTGGGCTTTGGGAAACTTTCACTCATTTTATAGACGATTCACCGAAAAAGCCCCCATTGAGTTTAAGGGCTGGTTGTTGGTTATAGTTTTCAAGGAAAAGAGCAAAAACTTTTGCTTACATCACGCAATTAATCCAATCTTTTCAAAAACCCTGCTGCGATACGATCACTGGATTTCAAAAAAATCTTGAAAAAGTAAAGGAGATAAAGGGAGTATCTCACAAGCTCTTAGAAATGTAGTAGTAAATTCAACATTAAAATGAAGAATGGAGATGAATGACTTTTTGCAGTGGAAGAAACGGGGGGGGGTGAGATGATGAGGAAGATGCAGATCAAAGAGAGAACGGAGAGAGAGGCTGCTGAGGCAGAGGCGCTCAGGGGTTGAAAGACGAGATGGATGCTGAAAATGAGACAAGGATAACGAACCAGAGACACCAGAAACAAAGGAGGGAAGGTGAAATAGAAAGAGGCAGAGAGAAAAAAAACTATAGCAGAGAGAAGGAGAAGGGTGGGAGTGGGAAAGAGAGAGAGAGAAAAAAAAAACACAGTCAGGGTAATGTGTGTGGGTGTTGTTCTGCATGTGTATAAGCCTGCAGCTTATCTTGCCCTACTTTCCCCCCAAAAAGTGAAGAGCAGACAAATGCTCATACGTATGCTTTCTGAAATGTGTTTCTTCACGCTCCCTCTTTCCAATCACAGCTAAAAGCACTCGCCATTTCATCTGTTTCTTCCTCTCTTTCTACTCTGTCCATCCTTATTCCCATCTCCTTTCTCTCCCTCCATCTCCTTTGTTTGTTTTTGGGATGTCAGCTCGGATGAAACACTTTGTTTGACTGGCCCTAATTTGCAGTTCCGGCATGGCACGTGTGCATTATGCATGTGTTTAACGTGCCATTGTTTCTGCAAGGCTTGGCATGGGCTTTACTGAGGGTGTGTCTGTGTGTGTGTGTGTGTCACTGGACCTACTTGTTAGAGTGAGCTTGAGCCTGAGCTCAATTTTAATTCTTAAGGGAAATCAAAGGATGAAAGATGACGTGTCTGATGAGTGAATGAAGGGAGAGAAGGTGTTTAAAGTGGGATAACTCACGTGTTGCGGAGGCTCCAGCAGAACTTGAGTTCTGTGAGGGGAAGCAGTAACTGGTTGGGGATTCCCAAGGCTATCCGGTAGACGTAGGTCCGAGACTGGGCTTGATAACGGGCATGGAAATCATCAGGCACACGGTGGGCATTGGTGATCCTGGCAGAGTGACAAAAGAGCAGCTGGAGTGAAACCTGACATCCATTTAGCTGTAAATTGTAGCTGTACTGTATGCCTGACATTGTGAATGTGCAGTCATTTCTTCAAAAATCACAGAAAATAATGTCAAACATTTGAATTCTGGTGGATGTTTAGACAAAAATTAAACAACCAGACATCAACTGTGCTTCATTTCTTCCTCAGATTGAAGCCGTCCCCAGACACAGAGGGTGTTAATACTCATTTAGTACTGCCAGCAAGAAAAACTGTGAACAAGTCATTGTCCAAAATGCCAACATTGCAGCTTTTTACACAAAAGCACACCCGTTTTAGGGCTGCCAAGAACCCTAAAGAGCCAAGTGCTTATGCTCACAGAGCTAGCATCAAAACATACTCAAGAGGCTGGAGCTGTTTGCTCTGACTACAGCGGGGGCATGGACACTATTTGTGTTGTTCAACCCTGTTTTACAGCACATGCAGACTCTCACCAACCAGTCAAAGGCATCACAAATACAAACTATAGCAAAATGTAAAAGGTATCATACAGAGCAAATATTACAATAAATAAATGACTTCAATTGTTGTGACTTCAGCATTTTCTTTTTAAATGGTCAAAAGTTTAACTGAGCAAGACCACATCAAACTAATGCCTCTTAATGGCTACTTTCATTGTCATTTATTATTCACAGCAAATAAATAAAGTAAAATCTCTCTTCAGTAAGGCCGAGATGTATTGTAAAGTGACGATACAGGGTCAAGTGGAGAATCTTTTTTTGTTTAAATCTGTAAACTGAAAGAACAAAGAGCTGCAGTCAACTGCGTGACTGTGACTGCACACACCACACGAGCACCCGGTAGTGTTCATCCACACACGCCAGTATGCATTCATGCACGTGTGTATGTTGTGTGTAAGACAAGGGGTATAGGCGTGTTGGCGTGTATGAGTGTATAGCACTGTGAGAACAATGATGAGCCAATAAAAACATCCCATGTATCTGCACATACGTCTCGTTTTCTGTACACAGCAGTGCATGTATATGTGTGTGTGTTTGTGTGTGTGTGTGTGTGTGCACACACAGTGTTGCATTTGTGCCACCGTAGAGTCAGAGAAACTAGGTTACGTTTCCAGGGGAGGAGATTGGGTGTGACACGTGGCAGAGGAAACCCTTGTGTCTGCCTTTAGCGCCTGCTCCAATGTTTAGTGACAGGCTTTGCCTGGCCCCTAAACCACACACACACATAAAATTTTCATAAGCAGTGTACAAAGCATGGCCTCACACATTTGGGAACTGGGGCATTGTGTGGCATGGCACCATTTGCTACTCAGCAGTTTCCACTTGTGCCGCTCATTTTAGGTTAATTGAGGCCCTTTTTCACGGCAGTGCAGAAGATAAGTGAACCCCCGACTGGAGAGATGTTTTTTACAGCGTAGGGTCTATGTTTAAACCTTGCTTTGCCGCTCTATCTCAGGAGGCAGCAGACCAAAGCTACGAGCCAGGAGCCATATTCTTATTGTTGCTGTAACAAAAACGTCTTCCCTCCAAGTAAGATGTAAAAAGAGGGTTTGGGGTGCCAAAACTGACAATGTGTTTTCATGACAGATGAAGAATGAAAACTTCTATCCAGTCTGAACACAGGGAGTGTGTATGAACATTACTGGTAGTAGAATATTTCTGGCACTGTGTATATGGTTCAGAGGCCATTAATAATTCCTTTTATGACACTTTATGAAGTGTCTTTCTGACATATGATGCATCTGAAAACAAACAGTATGTTTACGCTGTAAATTTCTCTGCAAGTTTCAAGATAGTAATTTCCATTTAGCTAGATGAGTGTATCTGTATCTCTGTGTGTGTGTGTGTGTGTGTGTGTGTGTGTGTGTGTGTGTGTGTGTTAATGGATGCTATAGACCAAAAAGCAGAGCAGGGATAATCCTTTCTAACCTTCTCTCTGCAGGTTTAGGGATTAGCGGGATGCTGGGAGCTTCCCTTTCCTCCCTCCCCTCTTCTCTCTCTCCGTCTCCCAAATGGCTCGTTCTGTTTCACACTCACTTCTCTCCTCTGTCTTAATTCAGACTGTGTCAATATCTGTTTGGTGTCTTTCCGCACCCTCTCTCACTGACTACCTTTATCCCTCACTATCCGTACCTGCATCTCTCTCCTTTGTCCTTCTCTCTGTGTGTCTCTGTGCTCCTATTCTCTTCTTCTCCTCTCTCTCAGACAATAAAAGCTGCTGACTAAATATCACAGCAGTCTGTAGCCATAAGAAAGTGACTATGGCTTTGAATAATGCAACTGTGTGTAATGAAGGGATTAAAAAGAGGAGGAGAAGAAAAGCAAAGGGGAAAAAAGGTGGGGCACTACCAATCAGGATTTCAAGTACTTACATACAGCTCAACAGGTGATCTAAGCTACTGTATGTATATGCTGGCATAGATATTAAGAATAGTTATATCACACAGATATGCTGTTATGCATTGTTATATATAGGATGTATAAATATGACAATACATTAGTGGATAAGTATGTGTGCTTTAAGGGTTTAAACACAATTCTCCAGGTTTCTGTACAGTTCAATTATCCAAAGGATTTAAGTCTATTTGCCAGTTTATGTTTATTTTGTGAACAGAGTAATGTGTTTTTCATGCATAAAGAGGGTAAACTTGACCAATTCAAATATATTTGACAGAATTCCTCCATATCGATATTTGAGGGGATGACAGATGTAGAGGTCATTCCCCTCTTGAGTGGAAAACACGTAATATTCAGCATCTGACATGATGTATTTACATTCACACATTCAAAAATAATTGAAAACATTGAAATGGTACACACAAATTAATCCAGAAAAGCCTTTGTTTAGTGTAAAGTTATTTTCCAGGTGTTGAGCTTCATAAATCTATCGACTGTATATTTATGATGTTGATATTTTACCCACAACAGTGTCCCAGGTCCTATGTGAGACGGGAACAAACTGAACAGCTTTCTATGTTACTAAATGTCCAATCTGTGTCCAAGTCTACAGACCAGTTATTGGTACAGATCATTGTTAATTCTGATCACTTTTTAAAGTTTTTTATTTATTCACTTCTGGTATCGCAGTTCAACCCACTTAAAACAGCCACCTGCTGGTTAGTTTCACGGATCATGAGTAACATAGATATGAGGGGCATCACAGATAATGTAAGACACTGGAATTTTAAGGCAGGAATAGTACGTACTTGTCTACTTGTCTACGCTTTTGATGTCTCATTGTTTGAATGAAATGTTCAGAGAGTCCTTCAGAGTGCTGTAACACTGAGACACACAGCTCAGTAACAGAACAAGACTAATGGAGCCATAAACAAACTTTCATGCATTCAATTAAATTATGAGAAAGGGTCCTTGGGATCAATCTGAAAAAAATTGACTTCACAACTGAACAAGTTTGTTAAGTTTAACCTGAGTCCTGGCTCACCTGATCTGCTCTGTCTTTAAGTAGAAATTAAGGGCCTCAATAAGAATGCCCTCAGTAAACGGCGGCAAATTGTTCTTGCGTTGGAGGTCGAAGTGGGCAGAGTTAGAGAGGGCGTGGACACCTCTGTCTGTCCTGCTTGAGACTGACAGAGAGACCGGGTTGAGCGGCATGAGTTTCCTTATTGCATCCTGCACACAAACAGAGGGAACATGTTATATTGTAAAAAAAACCTTTTGAAAGAATTACTTTTGAACTCAAAGCTTGCCACAAATAGTCAGAGAAAAAAGATAGATCAAGTAGAGCTATAATCGGCAGCATGATGTAACAAAGTCTGCGATCTTTCTTTTCTTTCCAGTGTGTGTGTACGTTCTGTTTCTAATATAATTTAGGGCCATTCTATGCCTTTATTAGAAATGCAGTACTAGAGACACAGTAGAGAGCTGACAGGAAATGAGGAGAGAGAATGACGGGGAATTAGATGCAACAAAGGTCTTCTGCCAGATGCAAACTGAGGATGTTATAGTTCATAGTCAACAGGTGAACTCCTGGACAATAAGGACTCCCTGGGGTATTAGTCACCATTGACAAGGTAGAGTATAAAGGCATCACATGCTGTTAATACTGGTATACTTCTGAAAACGTGTGCATGTGCCCTCCCTCTCACACTCATAATTCAAGCCTCAGTGAAAACCATTTCACGGATATAAATGGGAAGGACAAAATCATAGAACCAAGCATCAGTATAACACAATAGAGTTCATCCATAATGACCATACAGATGAATGAACACCTAAGAAACCCTATGACGGTTGGATTTATAGCAGGACTGTTGCATTTTACTGCATTAGCTAGGTGTGTACCTCATGAAGTGTCAGTGAGTGTAATGCACATTACTGTGTGTGGTTATCAACATAACTGATGGTATTCAGCATGAACCAGAATTAGTTTGCAGGACTAGACCTGATGTTGCAAGGACGAAATGAGGAAATGCTGGATGAGTATTGGAAGATAAGACACTAATATTTGGTCCAACTTACCTCCAGGTGGTCCTGAACCCCTTTACTAGGCAGCTGATGTGGAGGCACCTTCACTACACCGCTACAGAAACAACGATAATCAAATAATAAATCAATAACAACACCAGTTCCCAGTAGCAGTAAACAGTCACCTGCACTTATAACCCACCTGTATTTTGTCCCAATGTACTGAAAAAAGATGAGATAGCGAGCCCGGTTGCGCATGGTCGGTCCAGATGTGTGTCACACTTCCTGATCATAATGTTTATAAGAGCGAAACGTTACATCCGGTCAGGGAAGGACGACTTTCACAAACCTCTGAAGCGCTCATGTGTTTAAGGACTGAAGAGACGCGACAGACTACGGCAGAGACAACACAGCACCGCGACCTCCAACACGAGTCCCTTTCGAGTAGGCTCACGGTTGAATTTGTAGTCCGGAAGAACATTAGAGACTCCACTAGCAGAGTCTCCATTGAGGTTGTAGAGGAGCAGGTTAGTGTGTCAGTGTTATCAGTATTATCAGTATGTTGTTGTTTACTCGATATAAGATCCAGGATAAAAGTTAAACAGAAAAGCTCTCTCACACACACACACACACACACACACACACACGCGGACATCCCTCCTCGAGCCATCTTTGGCAACATGTTTGTCCGCACGCACTCAAACACATGTAAACTGCAGTGTAAAGTTTCAGGAGCACGCTTTCTTCTTTATGTCCGAGGCTTTTTTTTTTTTTTTTTTTTTTTTGTAGTCCTGTTGGTCCCTTTTTGATGGCGTCATAATCCACAGAGTGTGTGCCGTCGTGACTCCGACCAGCCGCAAAGCCATCTGCCTTCAACCATCGAGACCAGAGACTCTGGTTCAGTGGAGATGAGTCAATACAGTGAACACGAGCAACGGAACCGCTCAGAAAGAAAAGAGAAAGAGAAACAGACATTAATCTTATATTGTTAGAAATATGTGCCTGATAATTAAACTGAAGTTCCCTTTTTCAGTCACTTATTGAAAACTACCGACAAAAATCTGGATTAAACTATAAAGAGTCTGCATTTTTTTCATAGAGTTTTAAAGGATAACACAGTTTATTATTTCAACACATTTTTATTTTTCAGTTGTCAGATACTCGACTTTGTTAAAAACTTTAGATATGAGGGTTTATAATAGGATTATTTTATTAATGTAATTATTGATGAAGTAGCCCTCATTTGGACAATTCAACAGTACCTGTTACTCTATTAGTGTTTGATTGCATCCAGGTTTTGGCAGAACAATTATTAGTAGTAAGTACAGTAAATATCACACTTTAATTTTAAAATATGACTAATCTCCCCTTGTTAGGCTCATTATAAACTGTATATGGACACTGTAAGATTGGATGGATGATGGCGGTCATTGTACACTCATACTGATTATATATTGTCTTCAGTGAGGTTGTGTGGCGACACTTTCATCCTCCCATGATTCCTCCTGTTCTCTGGAGTCGTTGCGGCGGGTTGTAACCAGTCGGCGCTCTCCTCTCCTCCTTCAGTCTCCACGGTGCAGCTACGCCTCTCGCCTGTGTCGGCAGCAGTGGCAGCAGTGTAGTAGTAATCTGCCCGCCGCGCTCTCCGCTCGCATTCTGTGTCACGGTGCCACCGGGAGAGGGGCGACAGACTGCTGCGCGTCAGGGGATACCAGTCACCATCCGCACGGTTCAAGCGACATCCCGCCGCGGGCAATGACATTTGCAGACTGAAGTGGGAATACACGAGAAAACGCAAAAATGACGGTGGACTTTGAAGAATGTATAAAAGACTCACCCCGATTCAGGTAAGGCAGCTCCTCGTAGGCACATCACAGCGGTGCGCAAAAAATGGCACACCTTCTTTTACGCATGATTTTTTTTTTTTAATACTGGGGATTGAACGTTTCCGCTCATGCAGAATTTACAGCGGCATCAACAGGGTAAATGATCCAAGATGTGGAGTGTAATGATTCGCTCATGTGTTCAACAACAGGATGGCGTTTTTCCTTCATTTTTACATTTTTGATCAAATCTTCAATCATTTGCTTTGAGTATTTTTCAGATGTCATAGTTGACATTTTATTAAAACATGTATTTGCATTGTAAGACATTTGCTGGAGGACATGCGTGTGTCAGTGGCTCTTATGTGATAGTCTGATTTTTTTTTTTTTGAATGTGGGTTGTGACGTTAGCTCAGTGCATATGAGAGGAGGGACACTCACTGCCACGCACAGTGAGGATCCATTTTGCATTTGAGTGTGAAAATAATGAGTGATTTTTAGTCCTGATGCCATGCTTGCATCAACTTCATCATGTGCACTGAATAAGAAAGGGGACCTTATTCAGTGTGGCCTTATAACAAGTGGGATTGTATGAGTGGACCATCCTGTGTGTGAGTGAGTGTTGCAGCATGGCATACAGGTTGGGTGCAGTCTTTTCATGTGCTCATAGAGGAGGCCCTGCAGTCACCCTGTGTGGAACGAGATGCCCTTGCAGCAGCGTTGGACTGGCAGGCGAAAGAGGCAGCAGGGAGAGGGGTACACCCTCTCTCTGCAGGGACGAAGCTCGTATCCTGGGCACTGATCCAGCTGTTCGGCCGCTTGCCTGCCTGCTGGAGGGTTGTAAGCCACACTCGGTCCACGTGCCAGTCTGGCTGCACTCCTGTGCAGGCCGATGGGAAACTAGCAGAGGAGATTCTAACAGCATGTAGGCCAGGGTTCCCCTGATATATATGCCAAGGAGATGGGCTGGTAGTGATGTTTATTCAGTGTTTTACTGAGAAGGAGCAGAATGTTCACTTATTATGTTTAAAGACACATTTTCTCTGTATCTCTCTGTATCTTTGTCTCCTCTTGTCAGCGTCTGGTTCCCTGTTTGCTCTCTGTTCTCTGTGTTTGTCATTTTGTTGCTTCTCTCTCCCTCTTCCTCGCTCTCAGACGCAACTTATCCTGTTTGCTGAACGTTCTGTGACTAACAGATAGTTTGTGATTCAAGTGAGCAAGCAGATAGTGGAATGAAGGAAAGAGACTAAAGGAGACAGATATTCGATTTGTTTCTTAAATCCTACCTCGTTGATGGATGGCCGGGGCGGAAGGTCACAGGAAGAGACACACATTCAGACGCTTCCCCTTCTTTCTGTCTGGTTCACTTTCCCATGCGCTTATGAAGATTGCTATTTGAAAAATTCCACCACTGATAAAGGAAGCTGATGTTTCCTTGGGTTTACACGCAGTAGGGAAAATGATGATCATGATCATGGTGATGAAAAAGGGATAATTATATTAATGGTCAGTGTGACCTTTACATACATATAGCTGCAATGCTTTCAATTTATAGAACTGCCTTCAAAATATTGTAAACTCAACATTATTGTCCGTATATTTCAATGCACAATAGTTTTCAGAGTCTCGTCCTGGTTTTGATCATATTGGGATTATGATATTCCATGTGTTGGGTTTGGTTTCTGGACAGTCTGCTGAACTGGGCCTGGGGAAAATAGTAACAGTAATGGTTGAATCCAGAGCATAGTTTTACCTCATGATATAATGATACACATATCCAGGAGCTGCTCTAAATACCTAAAAAAAAAAAATTTTAAAAAAGGGTTTTGTCCAAAGAACACACTCATGTGACACAACCACTACCATTGAAGAAAGAACAAAATGTCCCACTCCACTCAAAAATGTGTTTTTCTTCTTGTTCCTACAGTTGAATGTTTGAGCTTCACTGAGCAGGGTGGTGTATGTGCAGAGTTTGAAACTATACGGATGTTCTCACATTCAGTGGAAAGTTTCTCACTGAAAATCAGATATTAAAGCCTACAAACATGAACTTCTACAAGTGTGATGTAAAAATCTGAAGCCACCAGTGCACAAACACTGAGAATGGACTTTAAAGAAGGAGGCATCTTGTGTCCAAAAGGGACAAAATTAGAAATGAACAAAATTTAATATTCATAGATTCTGGAATATTTAAGAGGTAGAAGGAGTAGACGTCTTTTTAAGGATTTTAATGTGGAAACACATTAGGACACACATGCTGACTTTTTATATGCCGATATCCATGTCTAGAAGGGATCTTTTTGAAAACAGTGAAGGTGAAGGCAGTGACAGTAGAGAAAATTACGGTCATTTTGAGTTTAACTTTCACATAATCGTGTAAACCAATAGCAGCAGGTGCACATTTAATCAAAGACAGTCCGAATTTTCAGAATTGTTCATAATACTGGACTGACAGATGTCCCTGTTTTCTCCTCCTTGTTGTGTCAATCTGAATAAACAGCAGAGAGCTGGTCGTGTCTGTCTTCCCACACATGGTGCTAAAACAGCTCACACACACCCTCTCACTGCAGGTCTTAACTTGTCCCAGCATTTACATGATTGGGTGAGGATGAAAGAATTCGTAAAGGTATGCCTGGGTATCTATAACACATCTTTTTGTTCAGTCTGCTTCACTCATATTCTATACTAAACTCCCTTTATTCTTCTCTGCCCTCCCTTTTATTCAGCAGTCACCTGCTGCGTTCATTCATTCTATAACAAAACCTGAGCATGTGCACCTGCCTGTAGTTGTTGGTACGAAATGTTTGTCATCTGATTCCCTGAAGGCAATTGGGAAGGCACTCATAGACGTTATCATGCTTGTGGTTTTATTATGCTGGCAGAACAGAACTGTGGTCGGACAAGTTTCCAACAAGGTCATTATTATAAACTAAAACCAATTGACTTGAACATGATATTTGATAAGCAGTGTTATGTATAGCACATTACTACAGTGATAACACACATAGATTACTGTGATTATCTTACTCATCCACTAACAAACAAGTATAACACATCACTTTTTAAATTTTGTAAATCACCTTATAGTTGCTGACCTGGTCATCCTAAAGGGAAAGATGATCCTTGTACAACTTATATTTAGTCCTTTCATAGACTTTACTGTTATGATATAAGTATTAATATGCATATGTGGGTGTGAGCTGTTGCTTAGCAACACTGGCGGTAAGTGAGACAAACGAGAGCTCGGAGGAAAGAATACAGAAAATGTAAGAATGGAAGAGGAGAGTGGGTGCTTTTAGAAGACGTCGTCATTACTTTGAATTTCCTGAACAGAGAGTTTCATTTTGTCAAAAGTAAGCTGAGTGATATCAGTTTCAACTCAACAAGAAATCTGATTAGATTGTTTTGTTTTCAGACATTTCACAGGCAGTAAAAGTTAAGTAATTAGCAGGGTAATTAGATTTATTAGAGTAAAGTGGTAGTTATTGTAAGTAACTGTGGTTCTGGGTGGAGTTGATTAGAGATAATATAGCATACAGCAGGCCTGTCTCCACCACATTAACTCATGTGTATCATATGTGAACTAATAATAATACACTGGATAAATCCATGAGTGCACAGATCTGAAGAACCAGCCGCACCTGTCTGCCTCTCTGTCATTTTTCTCTGTCTCCTTTTCCCACCCACAGTCCGTACACAGCGCCAGGCTGTCCAGACAGGTTGAGAGAATGAGTCAACAACAGGACTCAGAAGGTGACAGGAGGAGACAGATTGGCAGAGTGGACGCAATAGATAGAGTTGTTATTATGTAAGTGTGTTACACAACTTAAAATGGTGTCATATTTTACCAAAGTACAACAGGTTTAAGATGAATTGGTGACATAAGTTCAAGACATAGCTTGTTCAAGACTGGAATCTTGCAAAAGATGTTTTACAGTAATCAACCACAAAATCATATTCAGCTAAACTAAACCCAGTGGCCATGTAGGCTGCTATCAGTAATCATCAATACAGAATTATTTCCCATGGGACTGCGTACGATTGTGTTACACTCACCACTTTCATATCACTTGAAAGTTGCCAAACCTGCATGTGAGCTTACCTCAAATTCAGATAATCTCTACAGGCTTCAGGTTTCTGCTTGTCACAGCACCGAGTCAGGTACAGTTAACAGTTGCTAGACACATTTTTGACTTCAATCAGACACATACGTTTAGGTAGATGTTTAACTAACAATTAATAGAAATATTATTGAAAGCGCAATGTGGCCAAGTCCAATTTGCAAATCGCAGAAGCTGCAGTTTTTTGATAAAAGTAAAAATGTTTGACAGAACAGCATTATAATGGAGTACTGTAGTGCTGACCACCTACAAGTCACGTTCTCCAGATGTAAGTCATCATGTATCATCATATTAACAGTTTTTTCAGTGAACATTAAATTTGTAATGTGAAAATGATCATCTCCACACAAATCGTAAATCATATCGCAATCTGTCCAAAAAAAACGCAATATTATGTTTTTACCATATTAAACCCTAGTTAAAGTCTTCAAGCATCTAATCAATAATGTTAATTTTGAGTGTCCGTTATCTGCTGCGTCTTTTTTGCTCCTGACAGGTGTGCTCCTGTGTGTTGCTATCGTTACTTAGATGAGAGGTAACAACCTTTCAGAGCAGTCAGTGTGCTTTTTGATAGCAGCAGCTCCTGAACCCCACATTCTAGGTATGTCTTATTATGTCGACTGAACCTAAGTGATTATTTTTTCATTCCCTTCCTCAGCACTTACTTATAAATACAAGATGAAATTACTTGTGCTGCTTTTCCAGCCCCAGATGGTTGTGTTAAGTCCCATAAGTCCCATTAAGTTAACGCAAATCAGTAGCCTTAAAGATTTGGAGACATACCTATAATATATTCTTCTTAAGTTTTTATACCTTTTTAGCGAACTGTATTTGGTGAAAGATTTGAATTTTAAAAAGAGGCTTTTGGGCCTATTATATGTGATTTCCTACATTATTTTAAAA